GCAATATCCACTTGCCCAATTTCAGGTTCCTGGTCTAAACCCCATTAATAATAAAATCTCTTCAAACAATGAGATGGGAACCTGTATTTAATTACATCAGCAAGACTACTTTCCTGCTAGCCACACTCAGGGAGGTAACAATTGGTGCCCGAATTCCCCCAACAGAATTCAGCCTGAGACAAACAAACAGCAAAGAAGTAGAATTAGAGGAAACTACTTTATAAGGTGAGTTTTAGCCGACTGTTCCCCTCTTGCTGTCAGCTCATCAGTGCTAAATACCTTGACTTACTTTGAAGACTTAGAGAACTAAACCAGAAGATTTGGATAACTTATAAACTTACATGAGTATGTTCATAAATACAGTTGTCAATAACATCTGCAAGAGTTGCTCCTTCATCCAACAGGCCAATGGAGTAATTTGCATCCTCAAGAAATCCTTTCATCTCAGCCGTATTCCACAAAGCCGACAGTCATAAACCAAGAAACACAAGGGATGGGCTTCCAAGCCTTATATCCGGGTCCTTAAATTATGCAACAAACTGTTCAAAGAAAACATAAATCAATGGGAAGAGAGGCACAAAGCATACTATGCCACTATTTAAAAATTAGAAAGAGCTTTCTACATCTGATGTATTAAACAGTAACACACACTCTACAAAAATAAAATTTTTCTTTTTTACTCTGTCCACCTCCATTTGCTAGGGATAAGGATAGTGCAATTCAATTGAAGCCAAGAATAAAATAGAAGCTGTGTCCTTTAAATCTGATACTAACTTAAAGAAGACTAAGAAACCACTGATGCAAGGCTGGTCTTGGGAAGCATCCCAGACTGTATGCACACTGATCTGTGCTGAGCTTACGCAAACTATGAAGATACTGCAAGTGTTGCATACTTGTACAAACACCTCAGCTCAGCTATTCTTAAGTATAGCATCTTAAGTGACATTAGTATTCAAGTATGGAACTGGAAGACTGTCTGTAATACAACATTTCTGAATTTGTTAAAGAAAACTTGTAGTTTATCAATGTCAGCATTGATATTTGTTAGAGTCACATATTTGTGTTAACATTCTGTTTTTTGTTCAGATGCTAATTTATAACCATTGCTTTCACACACTGTATTTACTAGGCATTTATTTTGTTGTTCTGTTCATAAGATTACCTACAACACTTAATCTTCACTTCAATAGAGGTTAACAGAAAGAAGCCACTAGCTAGAAGTAGTCTTAAAAATTACAATTAATCTCAGTAAGTGGAACTGGTATTAAAAGAAAGTAACAGTTATAGCCTAGCTTTATTTGCATCTTGTTTATCCTCAAACCTTCACTGCAAATTAGATGTTGCTTATAAGCAGTGTTTTCCAAAAGACAACCTGAATCAACAAGGTCCCAAGACAGAAAACATAGTTAAATATACACAGTATTAGAATATGGATTAAATAGTCAGTCTCAAGTGAAAATCAGGAGACAGCAGAAAACTGCCAACAGCTGATTATATACATTCATCAGCCTTACTTGATGAACACAAAAATCTGTAGTTTACATTCCATTAGAGTTGTAGGTCTTGTTTAAAAGTTTATTAGTTTATAGCAACTGACTGACCAGACTTTTTTTAACTGTCATCTATATGAGTAACACAAGACTGATCAAAAACAGCCAGCTAACTAGATTCCTTCTTTACACAAACACCCAAGACTTTAATATCTCAAAAGAAGTTGCATAGTATTTACAAAAAAATAAAAAAGATGGTTGTTTTCTAAAGCCACTTGCACTTGGCTTTGAAATAACAAAATTATTTTTCTAATTAAAAGTGCTGATAGAAACCAGAGACATTACAGCCGAAGGTAAAAAAAAATGCTTCACTAAGACTCTAAAAGCTAAGCAGATAATTTTGGCTTCAAATGGTCGCAAGGCCATGGTATTAACTGTCTCATGTTTCTTCCACCACCCCCTACAGTCAAAAAAACCCCCACACTTTGCAACATAACTTTGGTTAACATTGTTAACATCAACAAAGCTACCTTTGCTCAAGCTAATACTGAGACAACTAAGCAGGAGCTGCTCCTGCTTGTCGTTACGCCCAATAACAGGGAATGAGCCAGCAGAGTTTTATATGCTTTCTGCATAACTCAAGTATGCCACCTATGTTTCTTAAGAGAAGTATTTACTGCCAGGTGAATTTAACTCAGTGGCAGCGAGAATTTCCAGTTATATTCAGAAGTTGAACGATAAAGACAAGTACACTGAGTAAGAATACACTTGTCTCACACAAAGTGAGTCATATGCTTATTTAAGGGAATCCTGAAGATCCAAAACAATCATGAAAGAGCAAGACAATTATCACATTGATGTAAGGATTTAAGTAAAGTACAATTATAAAAACAATGACTAGGTGGTAGACACTATAATAGCCAGGAAAAGCGTCTTCAGTCAGTCACATCTCAGTTTAAGTTTGAGAGTAACAGTTAAAACACCTTAAAAAAACTACCACCAAACAAAAAAAATACAAGCTTGTGAACTAAGTTTGACTTAGAATCAGTGAAACAAACACAAGCACCACAGTCATGTTTGCATAGCTACAATCACCCTCTGAACAGGTACTTCATCAGTATTCTTCATTTGCTAGCTGATTAGCACAAAGTCCTCAACACTTCACCTCCATAAAATATCCATGATTTCCAGGAGCAGAGTACCAAAAAGAGTTTGGTTTGTTCCCCGTCTCCCCCCCGCCCCGGAAAGAAAAGCTGGCATCAGCATTTTACTGAAAATTTGATATAGTTTTGGACTATTCAAAACGTGAAGATCAAAAGAAGAAAAAAGCTAACAGCAGAGTTTAACTTTTAGCACAATTTCTTTACGCCATGATTTAAACAGCCTAATGTTTAACTAAGTTTTAAAGTACTTTATGCATCCTCAGGAACTTGCTGGTTATGTAATAAACACATTAAACTTTTCTTCTACAATAATGGCTCTTTTGTTGTCTTCTTGCAAGAAAAATAATACCCAAAGAGAGGAATAAGTAAACCAACCATGGTGAACAGATGCAAGAGCAAAGGGATTTCCATTTTCAGCGGATTATTCAAATGTAGCAGATCTGTTAACCATTCAAAAACCACAAGTTTAATCCTTTTGTGACACAGAGGGGTGTTAAGGGAATTTTTTCAAATTTCAGCTGTTTTGTGCTGCTTCTAGATCTATAATGTCTTTAGGACACATCTAATCTGTCCTATGACTTCAGAAAGAGTTCAGCAAAACTGAGTGCCAACATTTTGACACAGTGACTCTGTACAGGATGAGCTTCCATGATCCCAGTTCCTTTCCCTCTCCCCACTCACATTCGACCAGTAAATACTTTTAAGTACCTGCAACTGAATGCATGTGAGAAGTGACTGGGCTGGCAGAAGCCTCATATCTGAGCTTCTTTTTATTGTTTATTCAAGTCGGACAATTTCTGTGTTTCTGATCATAAACTTGCAATTCCCTGACATATTGTACAAACCTGTTAAAAAGCCTGAAGGCAAAACTAAAGCATTTTAAGGATTTACTGTATATACAAGCGTACCACTTAGCTAGATTTTAAAGTTTTGGTGGGTTGGGTTTGTTTTTTTTTTTTTCATACTACAAGCCACTTCCTACATTCTAAAGAGCGCAGATGGTCAAGAGTCCCTTCCACTGAATGAATGCACACCCCCGATCTGCCCTGCTGGGAGGTCTCAGTAGACCCAGCGAAACCAGTCACAGCACTGAATAGGTTTTTAGACTCACCAGACACACACACCCCCTGCAGGCTAATTGCTGGTGCTTCGTATTTCAAATGAAGAAGCTCGCTCTAAACAACAGCTAGCTTTTTTTCTTCGAGTTCTGGTTTCATCTGAGTTACACTGGAGTACATTTAAGCTAATTTTGTAGTACTCTTAAAAGAAAGGTTTTTTCATAGTTAGTTACTGTGGTGTCTATACGTTTCAGACAGAGATAGTGTAGAAGAATACTTTCCTCCAAAACCTGCCCTTTTACTTTTGGGGAGATCCTGTGGGGAGGAGGGGCAGAACTGGTTCGAGTAAAGCGTGGGAGGAGGAGGCCTCTTTACCACTATCTCCCCCAAAACAACAACAAAAAGAACACTTATCTGGTAAGTTAGCTTCGATGAAGGTCATTTCCTAAAACAGACCTTGTCTCTTGTAGTTCATTCATCCAAAAGCATCTTATGGTCAAGAGGCAGGGATGAAAAGGAATCCATGCTAGTACAGACTTAAAATAGCTTGCAACAACCTAGTAACCTCTCTCAGGCTGCTAAACAGCGATTGCTTTTTCTAAGCATGTCCATGACGTCTAAGCTTTCTTGTTTAGCAAAATTCATCTAGTAAAAAAGCTAATGTTAGCCTACTAACTTCCATCCTCAGAGTCACAGTCCATTCCTCTCCAATTTCTCCTGCTCTAGAATAAATTACATCTTTTCAGTCTTGTTGAGAACAAGATAGGGAGAATATTCTACAAAGAGAAAACTGAAATTCCTACCAGCACTGCTACAGCACCACCACAAAACAGTTCATACTTGAGAAATGTTTCTTTAAGGGGTTAATACCTGCAGTAGGATTTAGGATTGTGCTATAACCTTACTCTGTTCTGACTGGCCCCCTCCTGAGAGGCGAGGAGAATCAATGATAAAATTTGTGAAAGATCAATACACATAGAAGGAAATCGAGAGGACAGCTTAAGACTTCTCTATGTCCCTAAGTCAGAAATCATTACAGTACAAAGTTCAGTCCTTGTTGGAAGTGCTGACTGGCTGCAAGTAATGATTTGACAGACTTCGCATGGTAACACCACCCATTTTACCACCTGAAATGTTAGTCTGCACAAGGCTCCAGGACATATATTTTAAGGCAAACAAAAGCTGTCAAGTGGTATGAGACTTCTACATAGGCATGCAATTGCTTGCTTTGAAGTAAGCGTTACATCCTCAGGCTCTTTAGGGTTTAACACAATGACTTCCCAGATGAAGAACTTTAAGATAAAAGTTTACATATTTAAACACTGCAATTAATGCAGACATCTGGAATAGAAGAAAGTTAAAATGCTCTGAAAAGTGACTAATTAAACACATGCTTGTCATATGCAAGCTTCCATAACAAACACATCATTTTCAATTTTTTTCTTTACATTGTCAGAACTACATATTGTTTGGCCTGAAAAAAAAAACCTTGAGGTTTGGTTCTTTCATTAAAAACTTCCTCTGCAAAGAACAAAGCCTCTGCAAACCGAACAGGCTCCCAATAATGCCTTTCAACTACATGTCTTATTAAGCAAAATAAATATTTATGAGATTAGCAATTATGCTGATGCAAAAATCATAAAGACATAAAATACATTCACCTCACATGCCTTACAATACTGGTTCTTCAGGGGTAACAGATCAAAAAATAGAAGCATTTTGCCACTAACATTGACAATTAAATACAGAACAGGTATACTAGAAAAGTAGAAACACGAGTCCTCTGTTTTCAGTGCAGGAAATGCCTATTTATAATGTATCTTTTAAAAAATATTCCAAGATGCCATTTCACCAACTTATATCCTTATCATTCAGTTAGCTGAATGCAGCCACTAACCAACTGATGGAAATGCTGAAGCAGGTGTCTTTATTTACAGTGGTAGTGGACACTGTGCATTACCCAAGTTGCCTCTCAGTACAAATCCACTGAGGGTCATAGCAGAGTACCTGTACAGCTTAGGTTAGTCGCATCCTACCATTCTCTGAGGACTATTCCACACGGTTAAATGAGCAATGTAAAGAGAGCATTCTCTGCTGAAGTAAGCAAGCAAAGGGGGTAGATACTAAAAAATAATGCCCCATCTGACATCATCTACAGGAACCATGCTTTCCAGAACCTACTTACGTTTTCTTGAAGTTTGAATACCGTAAGTGCATGTATACTTCTGTGGTACCATACCACAACTTCTTTCAAGACAGTGGAAGCAGTTAATTCCCTACCCTATCCTCTTACTTGCTTAGTCAATATTAGTATTTGGCCTCCCCATTGCCCCCCAGCCCTCCTGTTCCCCGATTGCCACCCAGTCCCATTTAGATAAAGTCAAGACAGCTTTAAAGGCCAGCCAGTCCAGAAAACTACTGCTTCCGCTTGGCATAGACAGGGCTCATTAACAGATCACCTTTCCATTGCTAATTCCCTCCATTTTTGATCAACCAAATGTGGCAATAAATAGAACAGATTTTCAAAGGAGCAAGACTTCAGACCACAGTTGCCAGACTGCTCAGGAAGTCAGAGCTTGAAGAGTGAGACAGAACTAAATCCTAAGTTCTTCCTTGGCCGGTGTAATACAAGGACAAAAGTGGGAGGGAGAGAATTATAAAAAGGAAGCAAGTTTAATGGGAATGTAAGTACACCTTCAGACAGATTTTTATTTGAGTTCCATTGGAAGATAATATTAATAATTATATTTAAAAGCTCAATTGACTTTTTTCCCATTAAATCACTTCACAGGTTGAACAGGACTCAAACTACCAATTAGCTAGCTAACTTGCATCTTAGCTGTGTTTGAGGCAATCACCTGTGCCTCAGCACACCAAGACAGGTACAGATTTACTGGCTAACACTTGCAGACTACTGCTACCTACATCACCACTACATTCAATACTGAACTACTTATATTTGTGTACAGTATATTATTACTGAAGGCAAAATAGATCCAAGCTCAAAATAAACACACAGATCATCTGAACATTCAGTTAGATACAGCAAATCCAGTAGCATTTCCATTCCAGGACAAGCTATACCTTGCACTATTTGCCACAGCACATCAGTCTACCAGTTAGAGAAAGAATAATCTCAAAGGCACCAGAACAGCCTTCTCAAAGAGAAAACTTCAGTCAAAGCCAAAATTCCTTTGGAACGATTTTAGAAACTAAAATGCATTTATAGTACCTTAATATTTTATGCTTTATTCACTCCTTCTCCTAACAATTCTTCTGCCTTTCCTCTCTTTTTGCTACTTTACTTTATTCCTGTTGAAGTGCAAAATGCCATGCAAGAGTTCTACCCACATACAAGAGCGAGCTGAAACGCAGAAACTGAACAAGAGAAACAATTTTCTCAGATCTTTTGCTTATAAAAATCATGTGACACTTACAAAATAACAGTGATAGTCAGAATTTTCAATGTTAACTGTATTGACTTGAATAGAGCAGTTATCTACATGGAACCAGATATATGCAGTTAATTCAGTGCTTCAAACAAAACAAAAAAGAACATATCCTCTTGAGATAAAGCCAGAAATCATGATAAACCAAGCTCACCCTGTGCCTCCCTTACTGCAGTATTTTCAAAGAACAGGGTCATCTACATTAAGTACCTTATTAGGAGACATACTAACACAACTGGCATTTGGACTCTTTGTGGTCTTTAAAAAGTACCTGGCTCAGTTAGATGCACTTAACCATTCTCATTCTCAAGTTTTACATTAAAAAGCATTATATAATTTATAGGTACTAAACCAAACGAAAATGCCTTCAGCTAGACAGGGAAAAAAATAAGAGTATAAAATCAGCTTAACTCAGACCTTACAAATACATTTAAGGCTATTGTTAAAGCCACATAAAGCTACCGTTCTATGTTAACAGAACAGGATAACTACACACATTCCACAGTTTTTTGTGCTCCTTAAGATCAGCTACACACATTCGTTTTCAGTTATCATGGTTTTTTTTTCTTTAATAACTATTTGCCTCTTAAAAATGTAAAGGCATTTATAGTTGGTACACAATTTCCATTCAACGCAGAATTCCACATTCTACTGTAGCTCAACTACAACTATTTGTGGAAGTGGACAGTAATTAGCAAATAATGGAGACAGGCATTTGGGAAGGCACACCCTTCATGATCAGCATTAGTTACTGTTTATAATAGCAAATTTTAACTATTTCAGTATAAAATACCATAGAAATCACACAGTACTCAGCAAATCATGATTTTATGTTAACAGTCATGCAGTGCCAACTCATGACTTCAGAATTACCACTGACTGAAGTTACAGCATTTTATTTTGGGGCTGTTGGCTGCAGAAATCCTAATTCAGAAAAGTAACTCTACAAGTTTACTCACACATGTTTAAGTCTCTCAGAAATTCATCAGATAACTCTGTTGAGAAAAGTATCAGGTGAGTAAAAATTGTAGTCCTCCCTTGAATGAAAGACCCATATAATATGCACACCACTATTTCCAAATTTTGATCATCTACATCAAGACAGTTATCTTACTTATCAAAAAGCCAATACATGCTGTTTGTATTTTTGGAAGTGGTTATCCTCCTGCATACAGATGAAGAGAGAAGAGACTTACATGGACAAGTTAGGAGATGGAACCCTACTATCATCAGCTAGGTTCCCAAGGTGGCTCAGCGTTGAAGTCGAACTGTTCTCTATAAAGCACTTCTCCTAAGCCCTCTGGATAGTTGTAAACTTGATCAGAGATTTTGCCCTGCAGGAGAAAATGCATATAAAAATAAATTTCAAAACCAGAACAAAATCAAAGCTTTATCTTAAAACACGTAACAAATGCCTTTTCAGTAGTGCTTTTAAGGAGGCTTGCAAGAGCCCACCATGAAAGTTTATAATCACATAAAATGCCCAGTTTTCAAGAGTGAATGTAAACTCTGAGCCAGATCAAGTCAGATGTATGAAGAACAGCTAAAACACATGAATTATGCACATGAAACCGCTTGTTTGTACTTACCTTTCATAGTCTGAACTGGAATATTTTCAAAACTAAAGGCAAAGAGCTCTATATGATCCTGCTTTAGGGTAGTATGCCTTAATACTGGACTACCCTCCCAGAAGTACTTTTAACCCTGTAACCACTGTGACTCTTCCCCTCCCCACTTCCTTGCTAGTTCAGAATTCCCTTGCCATGTTATTTCTTCCACTGCTGTGAATGAACACAGCATGTGGGTGAAAAAGCTATGTGGGTGAAAAATAGTGCTTTATATAGTGAAACTGAACACCAGACAAATCCAGAGATGACCAAGACAGTAAAAAGAAACGTATGCTTGCCTTCAGGAATGAGGTTTCAGCTGGCCTTTAAAGGCTATTACACACAACACCAAAGCAGCATCTTAAAGTACAAGGCTAGCTTACTCAAATTAAGGTAAAACAATCACACAAAACAGTACAACGAACATAAGAAGCAGTCAAGGAAACATTAACCAGTTCTGCTGACAAGTTATTCCTTCTAAAAGGAACAGTCATTTTCATGGAATTAAATACAATACAGAACTGGTCATGTGAAACCCAACATACAACAAAGTTACTACAAATTCACTGTGGTCTATGGCATGAAACGTGGAATGTACCAACCTATTGTAAAAATAAATCTTTGCTGCTCTCATTATTTAAACCAGACTACACGTGCTGACTACAAAAACCTGGCTTCTGGGAATCACCTAACCCAAATGACCATGTTTTCAAACGCATTACAGTGAAGCAAACTGCTGAAGTGTATTTTTTCCACTTATTCTTGCTATTAGAAAACTAAACTAGCATACTCTATAAAGTACTGAATTACAGAGTGAATGCAACTTGAGGGTAACTGTTTCACAGCAACTCCACAGAGCAATCTCTTCAGCTTTACCATCTAAATTAGCATTCAGTAGCATATAATATTAAAAATAAACCTCAGCACTTCAAAGCTAATTGAGATATTAGGGAATTTTGCCAGCCAGAATTAATGTATATGCCATATATTTAATCTCATCCCTTTCTTCCACTAAAGCAGGAAGTCAGTAACATTTAGTTCTCGGAGTATGCACACAACAGTTTTAAAAGCTGGCAACACTTTCCTTTTGTAAAATTAACTAGTAGCTCCACTATTTTCTAGTGCTGTTCTGATTACACTCAAGAACTCGTACAAATTTTCCAGTGATTATTAATTAAGTTTACCTTCCCAGCAAAACAAGTCATTAAAAACAGGTGCTTCTAGGGAGAGTGCATGACCTTTAGTGCAAAACTTAAAAAGCCACACTTCAGACAAATATCACCTGCAGTACTATTCCAATAAATACTCTCACATGACCCAAGAAGAAAGTATGCAGCAAAAGTTCCCGTGGAGCTGGAATGAAAACCAATCATTTTCTGTAGCAATAGTCAACTCTGGGCTGCACTGAGTTCTAACTACCCTTCAGAATTTCTTTTAAATGGGAATTACTTATCTGAAGGATCTACACAAATATACAGAAAATAGTCTGACTGCCCTCTTTTGTGCAGGTTTGCCAATATTAAATATCCAGAGAGGAAAATGGTACTATTTGAGCCTTTCAAATCATAGTAATTTTACTCTGCTTTAACAAGCGCAGAGTTAGTTTGCTATGCTGTGGCAGAGCAGGACTACCATTTTAAGCAGCAGAAGCATATTAGATGTCCATAACCCATATGGACAAACCCAGTTTTAAAAAAGTGCACATGTGATCATCCACAATGAAGCATTCATTGTTTAAGGGTCTTAAAGTCAGTATAAAAGCATTCTTTGCTAAACAGAGAGCTTTGAGTTGCAGGAATAATCGACAAGGCAGCTTTGCCTTTTAATACTCAAGTGACACCTATATGCATGTATTTATATATCATCTGTTAGTATACTCTACTAGCAGGTGCCTCAAGTTTGACTGCAGCTCGACCAGCAATGCTGTACTTCGTACTTGAATAGTAACACTCCTCTGAGGAACAAAATAACCCCCCAGTCATCCACAGCGCATAGTTTTGCCAGAACAACTGCATCCCCGCAGCAAGCTCTATGAGCACCGGCAGGCCAGTCAGGGCCAGGCCCTTTTCAGCTCACAGGCCCCCTCAGCTCCCCGTGTCTGATACAGACAGGCCTACAAAATCAGGCACTGATTTTCTTCAAAAAAAATGATCCACTACATCTCTCCATTTCTGAAGAGACCCTTTAGTGACCTCAGCTTAACTATGCATGAACCAAACCCTAAAAATCCAGCAATCGATGACCTCGTGTATCTACACCAACTGGCAGACTTGGAGGCACCAAAGTTACTCTGGTCCACAAAAAAACCCAGCTATTCTTCTGTTACAATAAGCCTTTTCCAGATCAGGGTCAGGGTGTTGTGGCAAGGCGGTCCCCGGAGGAGAGCAGGTCCTGAAGGGAGTACAGGTCCCTGAGGAATTCTGTCAGCCTCACTCTTGCTCCTGTGCTACATCAACAGCATTTTGAATTGAAATTTGCCATTATACCCAAATTAGTCCCTTACACAATTAATCCTCCCTTTCAGGAAGGGACGGTCTTAATTCCCTTCCAGAGCACTCTGTCTCTCCTTTAATTAGAGAGATGGAATCATTTCCAGACCATACAGCCCAGCATTGCTGCAAACACACACCTGCATCAGCCTTCCAACATAGGGAGCAGCAAGACACACAAGCTGCTTGCCTGGGGGCAGGCTGCAGCACTGAAAGGTAAGCCTGCCTCTTGCCTCCAGTAAAACTGTCCCCACGGGAGAAACATTCCCATTGCTGCTCACCACCGAACAACATCCTCCCCCTCCCAAAGTCTTGTAAAGACCCCTCTTTTTCTGGGGTTTAACAGCCTTCCCCAGAGCTCAAGGCCCAGCGGGAAGAACAGGGCGGGGGGAGCAGCAGGCTGGCTGGCTGCAGGGGGCTCGGCCTACAGCAGGCAGAGCCGGTGGGGAAGGGAGCTCACCACAGCCTGAAGCACACGGGGAGGGGGCTGCCGTGTCACAAGCATCAGCCACGGCGGCAGCAGCATTGTTCACACGGTGACAGGAAGGAAAGAACTAGACTGGACCAGTCCAGACTGGAACAAACCCCTCCTCTCATCACCATTATTCACAACCCCCACCTCCCCCCCAGCACCGCTGCCTCCCACGTTTATCCAGGGAAGGATAGTAGGCAAGTGCAGTACCCTCAGAGCCAAAAATCCAGCAGCCAGGGCGGAGTGGGGCAGCACTCCCCCCATCCCCAACCCACCACCACACAGGAGACCCAGCCACACTGTCTGGCTGGGAGGGTAGGCAGGTCTAACCCGCTTTATTGGACACCACATGGTGGTTCAGGGCAGCTATATTCGACTGGGACTACGCAATCAAATCCTGCTCGGTCACCGGAGACTGCTGCAGAGGTCTGAAATGCAGGGCTTCTCCTGCCTACATGTCGGCTGTGCAGGATTTTGCACTGCAGGAGATGCGCTTCAGAAAGGCTCAACAGAAGATTTAAGCTCACTTACTTCTCTCTTCACCACAACCAGGGTCCCCCCAGCACAGACATGCATCTTCTTGGGCTCTGAACAAGGCCAGACTGCCAACTGGAAAAGACCTGCAGTGCTGTCTAGTAATGAGCCACAACAGCAGCATCCTCGGCCACGCCAGCTGCCCCACGTTCTTGGGTCTGCACCATCCCCCTTACACACGCATGAACCCCCTGCTCCCACACCATACCTCCAGCTCCCCTACAACCAGTAACAGGCACCTCTGCTGACCTCTCACCAAACATGGAACAGCACCAGAGCAAGCACACACACTCAGATACCCTGACATCCAGGTGCACACATTTTACACTCACACACCCAGCCAGCAGCTAAGCAGTGACTGGACCCTCTTCTCTGTACTTTCCAAAAGCCACCAGTACAGTACAGTAGTGGCCAACTGGACCACAAGTACCAGCAGAGGCAGGCAAGCCAAGCGGGTTGAGGCTCAACCAAGACACTTCCAGAACGACTGGTGGCACCAAACCTGCTACTGCTACACTAACAGACTGACCAAGGGGAGGGAGAAAACGTGCGTCCTTGAGATGACCAGCAAACGCCCCTGGCAAAGGAAGAAGACTGCTAACAGGAGGGAAGGGCTCCACTTTCCATACCTGGAGGACCCCCTGGCCCCTCTGTGTGAAGGCAATTTGCACCGTCATCCCAGCGCTCGTCCCAGAAAGTGTTACTCGTGCAATACCCTTACAACTTGTGCAGTACCCTAACAGCTCGCTCTGCCGCCCTGCTCCTTGGCATGCCCCCCCCGTCCACCATGCCGAGATCGTGCAGGTACCCACAGGCACAGCTCAGATGAGGGGGAACGAGAAGCATGACAGTGGGAGCCCGGATGGATAGCCACAGTTACAGATGCACAACATGGCCTCTGAGAAGCAGGCAAGCAGAGACACCGCGGCCGTGCCACCAGCACTTCTCCAGTCTCTCTGCCCCCGGCCAGCCACGCCAGCCTCGAAGCCTGTCACACAGCTGC